TTTGTGCTAATGCTAACGGAGTTTGGATTTGGGGGAGGTGACGAGAGGCAAGCAGGAGTGTGGCTCGAGTCACAGTTCATCATCAGGCAAAAACATATGCATCTTTGTCAATTGATGGGGCTAAAATAAAATTGTGGTTGTTTGACAGCTGTAAGTGATGTATCTCTAAATAGTGGCAGTTCTGATCACTGAGAAACCCTGACTCCTGTAAGGTTGACAGAGAGTAATTAAGTGACAAGCTCAGCAGTCAATAAATGCCCCACGGCATTACAGGTTCACAGCAGACCCATGAAATGCAGTCCTCTGACAAAGGCCCCAAAAGGTAGTAAGCTGAACCTCGTTTGTTCTGCAGTAGCTTATTGATCATGCTATTGGGCTGGGCCCTGAGAACACAGCTTATATATTTCCAGTATTCCTTCTTTTCCACTGAGCCTGTATTCCCACTTTCTCAAGAAAGTTAAGGAATGTTAAATAATCCTTACTAAGCCCACAGACTGGTGCTGGGTAGCTGTATAGGAAAGATCACCTGGCCTAAACCAAGGCCATTTCCAGAATGAAACACATTAAAGCCATTCAACAGCATCTGTCAGTATTGTATTTCTCTTTTATAAACAATGAGGATGCATGCCTGCTGCTGCCAAGATAGAGATATAATGAGGACATTGGCTTTCCTAATGGGTAATGTCTAATCAGGCCTCTCTGCTACCACATGCTGCCATGCAGGAAAAAAGGCAGGAAAATAATATTTGTTGGGATACAGTGAAAAGGTCACAGTAATCATATCTGCTACTACGTCGATACGTAAGATTGCCCTGTGCTTGTCCCTCCTCCCTCAAGACAAAGTAGCTGTCTCAGTCATGGAGTGTATTTACAAGTAGCATCTGAAGCTAAGGAAAACATTTCTAGTGACATAGCTTGGTTTTCAGGAAGAAAGGTGCTTTAGAAAAGGATTTGGATTTGGTTTAAACACAGAAAATACGAAGAGCAGCATGGCTGTGAATATAGCAGACACAGTGGACTGTACATGCATGGACGTGTGGAGCTGGGACCTGTCCGAGAGGCGTACGAGCAGCCTAGCCAGTGACTTAAACATGTTTGGAGAAGGGTAGAAAAGGTCACAGCTCTGAATCAGGACAGCACTTGACTGAATCCTTAAATACCAGTGGGATTTAAATGCTTCCCTAAGCGTTTTTCCTTAGCTACAATTTTAGCTAGCTGAAATATAAAATATTTTGTTGAATCAGTGTGGGAGACACGGTGGTCTTAAGCTCCCCGCAGGTCTGCAGGTGCTCCAAGCTGTGCTCATGGCCAGCACCGGGGGGCATGGGGACACCCCGGGAGCCTGGGAAATGGTCCCTGCGGGGCAGTGGGTCACTGCTGGCCTGCGGCAGGAGCAAGCACTGGGAGCCAGTGTCCTTTGAACTGCATAGTCTCATTTTAATCCTTTCTGTCATTTCTTAAAAGGAGGTCAATTAGCACAAGAGTCACAGGCCACCAAAGCAGCGCTGTACTGCTGAGTTTATACATATGTGTGTGTGTGTGTGTGTGTGTGTATAGTGGCTGACAAAGACAATCTTGCCTGGTGGGGGGACAGGTCAGACTGATAGGGTAGCCTGTCTCTGGATCACTAAAAAAGTCAGGAGAGAAAGCAGAGCAATGAGTTAGGCTACCAGTCTGTGGCTGCTTGGAGGTTTTAGGGAACCCGCATTTCATGGGGTAGTTCACACCTCAAATACACCCAGTCTTTGGGAAAAATTTATATTGGGGTGGGTATATTAGGGGGATTTTATAACCAGTTACCAAGCTGTATTCTTGGAGCTGGCAAAGCTACACATCGTGATGTGCTGATTCATGAAATCATAGCGGGCTAGTTAGCTCCTTCGCAGCAAGTACAGTTTGTTAAGCTGCCATCCAAGTTTAATGCAGAAACTTCCTGATATACTGTGACTCTTCCAAGCTACTAAAATGGAAAAAAGGAAATCAAAGAAGAAACAAATATGCTTTATTTATTGTTTTCCCACTTTCACATATTTCTTCCCAGACAGCAGAGAGCTTCATTTTTTTCCCAGCACCTTTTTATAAGTGGTAGACCACTAATACCTATTGGAAAGTTGAAATGTAAAAAGTAATCAAAGTACTTTCTCTTAGTTTCAGGAAAACATTAGTAGATTTTTAAAAAATTAAACTTGGAATTCTTTAACCTCACGGTCTAAGCCAAAGAAGAGTGTTTCTTTGGAAAAAAAAAAGAAAGGCTTGATCATAAATCTTTTATCACTTTGAACTTACTCATTTAAAAGTATCTTAGCTGAAGGCTGTAGATGGCAGAGCAATAGTTATACAGACGGAAAAACAGTAACCTGCTTTTCAGTCATGGCATTAGAACGGTGCTGGTAGTCTGAATGGCCTGTTTTGTAACCTGCTGATGACATAAATAAATGAAACTACCTTTGGAAGTACGAAAGCACCTTTTTATAAGATCCTCTATGAGCTCTCACAGCCAGGGGCTGGTTTTCTTAATTATTGCTTATGAGCCCAACGTGTCACTGCAGTAAGTAGCAGACTAAACTTCCCAAAAGCAAGCACTGATTTCAGAGCTTCCTACTGCAGTCACTTCAAAAGGGACACTTCCTTTCCCAGAGGCTGACTGCTCCAAACCTCCTGAGAGAAACTCCTGGAGGATAGACACAGTCCAGAAGAAATGCTGGAAAACAGCAATAATAATTGCCATCTTCAAAGGAAGGAAAAGAAGAATCCAGGGAGTTTTGGGCTGGCCAGCTTAACTTCAGTTGCCTGGAAAACACTTGCATGAAATAACTATTTTGTAAGTAATTGGTAGGAAATGAGCAAGAGGTAATATGAATCTGTCAAAACCAGGTCTTGTTAATCTGATGAATTTCCTTCTTTAACAGCTTAACAGGCCCTGTGGGTGAGGGAAGAGGTCCTTAATAAGCTTTTGATCCTGTCCTGCATGACATTTTCACAAACAAGTAGGGCAATAGACCAGATGACATATACTGTAAGGTAGCTGAAAGTGCTATTAACTGTCCTATTAACTCTCAGATCTTCACTGTCAAAACTGGGGGGATCTACAGGGGTCTGTCCACCATCTGAGTCTTCTTTATGGATAGTTTTTAGTGAGTACGTTTGCTAAATTTGCAGGTACCACCAAGCTGGTTCATGCAACCAGCATGGCTGGGGACAAACCAATCTTGACAAACTGGAGAAATAGTTTGGTAAGAAAAAAAACACCACAAAAATGTGCAGTTCCGTATGTCCACAGCCCTAAACTCAGGCTGAATTTGTCATTGCCTGTATCACAGAGGGGTCACCCACCTTACCCAATTCAGTCAAAAAGATCACCTCACAAGGTGTGTGAGCAGCAGTATGGCCCTCAAGACACAAGACGACATTTTTCTTCCCAACTCACCATGGGTGGAAAAGCAGATCTAGTTCTGGGCATCATGTTTTGAGAAGGATATGGAGTCATTACAAAAAGCCTTGGGGAAAGCGGTGGTAATAGCGAGAGGTTTAGGAAACTTGACCCCTGTGGAAAGGCTAAATGAAGAGAGGTGTCTTCTAGTCTATAATAATATTGCAATGTATGAAGCAGGGCTTTTGTAAGCAATACCATTCATTGTCGACTGACCTTGCCGTGCAGCATAGCGCAAAAGCTCACAGGGGGCTGCAGGGAGTGGTTGTGTGAGGTTAAGGTGGAGGAGAGATTTCTCTGCTCAAAGGCTTTCACATTACTTTCTCCTTTTGCAGAGGAAATGGCCATGGATACAAGGCACAGGTAATCAATGGTAAGCAGTAAGTTCCCTGGGGGAATATAAGAAGGACAATAAAACTCAACACTTCACTGAAGCACCCGGGTAATGAACATCATGACAAGCTGAAACAAATGCTGTTGATACAACTCAATCTCACCCAGCTCCATGTGCTGCGCAGAAAAGCGATGGGTGGCTGTAGTCTTCTGCTTCCCTTTTTCCAGCTTTGCCTTATGATTAGAGGTGGTCATAGCGGTGGGATTGCCCTGGACAGACCAGGTCTATATATATAAACCAGCGTGTAGGAAGGCAGGGGTACAGCTCCCAGCCACTGGGCACAAGGGGCATTCATCTCCTACATCCACCCTCATCCCTTGAGGAATGGATGTGCCTGTATTTCACTCATTTCCTTTTGCAGGCATCCTCAGAGCTAACCAGCTGGCACCAATAAAAGCCCCAGGAACAACAGAATTAATCACAGAGACAACATAGCAATAAATATAAATGTGCTTCACCTCACTGCAATATAAAGGAACAGTTTTTGGGGGGAGGAGTGGGGGGTAATCTGCTGTTATAAGGCATCTCTGTTCTTCAGACAGAGGTTTCTTCACAAAAAAAGACTTAATTCCTCCTTCACTGTTAAAGGACTTTGCTGGTGTCCCCAGCAGTTGCAAGAGAAGGTTTCAATTCCAGAGCATTTGCTGTATTCCTGTCAGATGCTGTTATCTGTGTGGTCAAGATTTGTTATGAATTGAATATTCTTGGCTCTAATTTCTAAGGGATTTTCATTTTGAAGTCAAGAATTGTTTTATTGGTGTCAGAAGCTGGAGGATACGGCAGTGTGATGATGTCAGTGTTGCCTTTCCCTGTTCACTGATCATTACTTTTGCGATTTTGGTTTTTCCTTTTGAACATCTAGCACCTGGAGCCATGGCATTACCTAATAATCATGTTTTAAAAGAAATGAAAAGAGAAAAGATAAGGAAAAACAAGTTTCTCACAGAAAAGGACCTGAAGAGTGTTCCTTACAATATCAGAGGAAGTAAAAATAACTCACTGTTGGATACCTTTGTATTTAAGATTTTTTTGTATTGTTCATAGTCAATTGTCATGGTTTATGAGTTAATTGTATGCATTTTTACTTTGGTTGTGTGGGTCCTGGTTTCTAAACAGCTGTGCTCAGCTGTTCAAAAGGACAGCTCTTCAAAAGGAAAAAAAAGTTCCACTCCCAGATTTTTGGAAAAAAGAACCCTGCCTCTTGTTTATTTATTTATTTAGAAAGCACATACAGCAATGCATGGGGAGGGGAAGAGAGATGCAAAACAGGTGAGCATACAAATCCATCTCAAACGAAATAGTGAGACACTTCCCAGATGATTAGTCGTACATCAGTCTATGTGAGCATTTAAACTGTTGTACCTCTAGATTAAAAAAAGAAACCACACAGAATTTCTGAGGATACAAGGTAAGTGTCTATATTCCAGAAATCCCACCACAACCAACTTGTAGGCAGCAATGTTTTTGCTTTGTTTTTTGTTCCTGATATTTCCTCAAAGGGGTCTCTCTTGCTCATGCTATGGTTTCTTTCCTCAGTGTCCGTCTCTGGTGACAAGTAAGGATACTTGTGAATGAAGATTTCCCCTTCGTTCTCGACCTTTTCTTTAACTTCTTCTGATGCTTGAGCGAAATTCCAAGCTCCTCCATTATCGCATTAAAAGAAAGACACTGGTGGAAGACGGAAATGGCATTAAACACTTCTCGTTGGAGGCACAGTTCAACCATATACCCTTTGCACAAATGGTGGCTTTTAGAAACAAGGACCTGAGCTCTTACTGGTGGGCTCAGAAAGCTTCTCTGCTGAGTTCTGCCAGCTTTGAATAAGCCCCTAAGGTATAATAGGTGAGTCTGTAAAGTCATGTTTTTTGCCTAACTTGGCTTTCACTGAGTTTAATTTAACTTTGGCTTAACTAAAGCTGATAATGAATGTTTCTGAAATTCTACATAGATGCATTTGCGATGTTTTGGTGGCTTCATATCATAAAACCCTTTTTCAGTAGGTAAATTTCCTCCTGACCTTAAATGAAAAAAAGATCTTTTTTAAATTACATGTACCTTAGCCACAAAAAAATGGGTATACTAGAGAAAACAAAGAATACCATTTTTGAAGATTTCTTTGTGGTTTAGTTATTTTCCCCTCATGAAATTAACAGACATTTCTAAAATATAGCACAGTCCTCAATCCTCTTCTAAAAAAGAAAGAGTCAAAAAGAAAGAATCTTTTTCAAACATTGTGTGTTGAAGAAAGGAGAAAATGGCCACAAGAATAAGGTAGCTGAATAGTTTAGAAAGAAAGCAGAAATCTTTTCTCTTTCCACCATCACAACATTAACAAAGACATTTCAGGTAAGTGGAAACTTCCTTTAAAATCTCCAGCTGGAATAATAACATGTAACGCAAAAAAAAAAACCCACAAAGAAGCTTTAAGTCGAAATATCTAGCAATGTAAAAAAAATGTTCCATGCAAATATATATATAAATAGATTATTTATATATAAAACAAAGTGATGGTAGCAGTGTGAAACAAAGCTTTAATCCCCTTACCTTCATCAAGTTGAACAAATCCTTCCTGCCAAACCCTTTCTAGAAATGCAGAAATGACCAGCTTTAAAACAACTGGTTAAAACTACAGTTATTGTAAAATGACAGCGACAGCACACAGACATGGTTCTTCTGTATCAAATTCCCTTCTAGAGTGATACGAATGCAAGGTAAGCAGTGTTCAGTTCTTAACCAGTAATAATCCAATAGTGACCTCAGTTCTACAGGGCTAAAAAAAGTAAAACCAGACATGTTATTGGAAAAGGAGAAAACCCAAGCTTTCCTAGTACCAGCTGTTCGAGAGGAATGTTTTCAAATGCAAAAGAGAGTATGAGAGTAACCTGGATGAAGGTTAAATCATTTAAGGTAGCAAAGGAATCCCCGAGAAATGAATTCCACACAGCGTGCTTCTTCCTCTCCAGTATAAACCTGCTGTATAACATGTGTAACCCTTGTTCTGCAAATAAGCTCAAGACATCAGTGCATCAGCATGTGTGTGTATTTTAAATGTGTATGATCTTGCGTATACCATCATGTCCTTTTGTGGGATGGGCTGCACACAGACTAAGATCCCATAGTATGTTAAATCTATAATCTATAGTTTACTATGCTCTTTCTCCGAGATGCTTAATTTTTGCTCATCTAAAATGCTTAATTATACCTAAATTAAACTACTATTCATACATTCCAGACCCAAAATGTAATAAACATAGGCCAGGGCAGTGTACTGCTTTTTCTTCAAATTACTGTCTAGTAATAGCCAGGAATTTGCTGGTGCAATTATAATTTAAATATCCCCTTTGACACTGTAATATAGGAATTCCAGAGTGTCTGCTGCAGCCCCATGCCCTCTGGAAGCAGCGGGTGAAGCAGGTATCATCCTAATAGACACACTATTTCTACACTGCTTCAGGCTTTTTTAGAGAGTAGCACCACTTATTTCCAAACTGATAAAAATGTGTGCTCTAATTATCCATGACTTAGCATGGATAATTTCTCTCTGCTATCATAGTTTTAATTGAGCTTTCAAAATCTAGATTATTAAGTCATTCCAGAACTCCATGGCAAATAAGGAAAGGATCGTATCAACTATTTGTAGGATTGATCAGGTTTATTTTTATTTTCTTTCCCTGTTGTTTGATTATCAGGCCCTAGATGCAGTTGCAAGCCTGCAAGTTAGGAAGATGCAATGGTGACCATCTCTTTTTGTGAACAGAATATTTCTTTGTGGCCAAATTTCAAAGTTTTGTGATCAGAGAAGCTCAGAGCACTGATAAGCACAAAACCTTTGAATGCTTTAACACTTCTCCTTGAAGCTTGTTATGTCTATGCAGGAGTCCTCCCACGTGCCACGCCCCTCATGGGAGATGCTCTGGGCTGTGCCTTCCTCAAGCCTTGCTGCTAACCTGAAGGCACCTGCTTTTTCCTGGAACCACAGCAAACCTTGCAAAGACTGCCTTTACAAGCATAGTTCTGTCAGCACTCGGATGGCATGCCAGCTCTTCACTGCCTCAGCTGCTGGTGTAGCTGCTAAGGAGCAAGTAAGGCTTTTTAATAACTCTTTCTGTACCTAGGGGTGAAGCTCCATTAGGGAAAGGAGGACCTGCTTTGTAATTCCCACAGGCAAGCCGAAGTCTGTGAGGTTGTCTGTGGGGACAGCTAGACACAGGGACACGATGACTGTTAGTAACAATGTGACTGTTTCCTTGACAGATGTGAAAATGTTTACCGAAAAAGTGACAGAAACTTTCTGGATTCTGTGTTCATCTAAACAGCTATTAGAAAACTGGTCAAGCTGCAACCCGGAGGATTTCTTGCGTAGAGCAATGATGGAGATAAACACATTAGGAATTTTCCTTCTCCTCTGAGAGTTGAGAGAAGCTGAATTTAATTAGTTTTAAGTCTCTTCTACTGGGAGACTGCAAAAGAAAGTGCTTTCTTAAATCAAAGATACAGAAGATCTAATTCAGGTCTTTGTTGGTAAGAAGGCTCATTTTATGAAGAACCAAAACTTTCAAGGCCCTATTCAAACAAGTTAAAAAGGCCATTTTGAGCAAGACAATTTCTTGCAGCATCTGGAGCTGAGCGTAAACACTCAACATACATGCATAAGCACTGCCAGAGAAGAATTGATATAGCCTAGCCACCAGCAGTACATCTTCATCACAAAAAATACTTAAGCCTACTACCAGCATAAATAGTGCTGACCAAAAATTATAACATGAGAGGAGAGCAAAACTTCGCCACAGCACTTCAGCAATTGAGTGTGAAGGCATCCACTTGAATAAGTTTTCTAATTGTGGTAGAGTCCAGAAATGGACCCTCAATAAAACAGATCATTAACTTGTTTGATGAGGAGGAACTGCAGTGGGCAAGAAAACACAAAAGTAGGTGTGAGGGGTGGGAAATGAATTGGTGAAACTGGTGGTAAACTGGGATATAATGAAATACAGATAAAAGGTAATCGGGTTTTGAAAACATGGTGGTTTGCCATAGTTCATGACATTGTACCAGCTGGCATTTCTATACATTTTGTGTATCTCACATTGTTGTCATATGTTTCTTGGTGACAACAACAGATCCAGTCCATTGTCTCCTGCCCTTGCAGTCCCCAGACTAGCTGAACTCTAGAGAAAATCAAACTGGTATCCTTCCAGGGTATAAAAAACATCCAGTACCAACCTCCTACACAAAAGCCTCCTTGTGTGTTGTTTCAATATGGAAAGCAATGCCAAGGCTTTACTGTTTTTTATAAATTGATATCCTGATTTTGCCATAAAGGAGTTTTCTATGTTACAAAACCTTACAATAGTGAACATCATGAATTCCTCAAGCCAAGTCAACAGCGTTATTCTGTGAAAGGTATATATTGGGAGTGCCTGAGGGTGCTTTTGTTGAATATGTTCTTAAACGTTAATGGTTACATGGCATAAAATTTAACTGATAGATATGATTTTGTGCTATGATAGTTACTTGGAGGCTTTGGCTAATGAATTTTAAATGGATGAATTAAAATTCATTAAATACTGACACTGGGAATAAGATATGCCAGCTAAAAATCTCTGGCTGCTTATAATAGGGGTTCAGAAAGTTAATGGAGCCCTGCAGGTTATTTTCTGAGGTTTATAAAGAACTGCCTCGCCCACTTGCTGAATGCTTTGGCAAAGACCAAGCAAAATATTTCTCCGTGCTTTTAGTAATGGACTGCCATTGGTTTACTCAGGTCTGGTAGAAGATGAAAAGGAGGTAAATAATTTTTCTTACCTGAAAATGGTGAATTACCCCATGAAATGACAAGATGACAATTGTACATAGAGACTGTGATAATTCTTAAAATCTACTACAGTCTATTGCACTCACTTTTTGCTGTAGGTGTAATTATTTTCTGTGATATGCATTTAAACTGCCCAAATTTCCAGGACTTGGACAA